CTCAATTTGCACTATTTCTGGCAGTCTGCAACCCCCCTTAGTTCCTTTGGGGCCCAGTTCTACTACTTGTTGCAAGGGATACTAGAACCTACCAGCTATTAAAGACTGTGATAGTTCCTCTGCTGTAGAAGAGATATTATATCATTTTACCACTGATAAAACTTATAACAGATATATGTGTCAGTTTTCAGTACCAAAGGCTTGGAAAGGCTTAGAATTACAGCCAGTTCCAACTTAAAACTCTCCACACTATGGGCCTTTGCAGACTGCCAGAAATAGTGCAAATTGAGTCCACTTTAAGGTTAGTGCTAGGGAGTCATGGGATTTTTTTTTTCCTGAGACATTGAGCCTTCTCTGTCAGAGAGCTCTGGTGCCACAATAAAATGCAGTTCCCATGATTCCCTAACCCTAACCCTTAAAGTGGACTCAATTTGCACTATTTCTGGCAGTCTGCAAAGGCCCTATGTTGACCACACTGAATGATAATACTTTACCTTCTTTTTACCAACACAGCATAGCCACAATTATACCAGACAAAAGAAACTGACAGAGTGGGCTTTCCTGACCAGAACATACCTGCATCACCATTTGCCAAGAGATCGGCCTGTACAGGTTGGATTGTAATAGGTCCATTTTTAAGGTTATCTGGAGGTTCTGAAGAAATCTAGAATGTGAAATTTAAAACATTAGTGTTTGTAACATTTTTGTCACAGACCTTTGTGTGTATTGCAGTAATAAACAATAGGTCAGTTTAGACATGGGCTGCTGTAATTTGACACTGCTTCAACTGTCATGTTCCATCCTATGGAATTCTTGGATTTATAGTTTGTTGTGGCACAAGAGCTCACTGATAGAGAAGGCTAAATCTCTTACAAAACTAAAAAAAACCCCAGATATCCATGGCATTGGCATACTGCAGTGTCAAACTGCATTAATTTTACAGTGTAGATTCAGCCAAAGGCGGCAGAGAAACAAGTGAATTAATCAGAGAGCGGTTAATAAACTATTCATCCATTGTTTTATTAAAATATTTATATCACATATAAGAAAAATATTTATATACCAGAATCTTAGGGTGGTCAACAAGTAAAATGTATCTAACAATTAAAACAATTTAAAATGTAGTGATAAGAACAATTTAATGTCACTAAAATGTATTAAACAATTTAAAAAGTTAAAAGTGCTGAAAAGGTTAAAACAGTTTAAAACTGCATGCCTCTCCATTTTGGAAGAAATCAGGTCCCAAAGGCTGAAATAAAGAGCCATGTTTTAACATGGTGTTGGAATGTAGCCTACATTGATTCCATCTGGGGTTCCAATTCATTTGTATATATGGGGCAACACAACAAAGAAGGCCCACACACAGTGTATTGCTCCCACTAGTGGGAGCGAGTGGAGGATCTCTTATGCAGACCTTACTGCTTTGGAAGGTGAATGTAAGAGGAGTGATCAATCAAGTTCTGGGTCCCAAGCTGTTTCGTAGAGATCCAAGAATTCACTAAATTTCATCTCAAAGAAAGCAAGGAGTAATTTTAGCAATTTTCTTCAAAATGTGAGAAAGTCTTCAAAAACTGCACAGTTTTTGGAGACTATTTGCAGTTCAAGACTTATTCAATGCAAACTTCACACAAGACTTATTTTTTTGTACAGAAAAGAGCCTTGTCTGCACAGGAAACAGCATTTCAGTGCAAGAAATGTTGTTTCCTATGCAGAACAAACATGTGAAATTTGCTGCAAATCCCAAAGTATAAAGATTCTTATCAACCCAGGATTCTTCTTGTCACTTGGGAAATACATTTTCCAACCATCTTCCAAATATTTCTGAATATTGCTTCCATCCCAGCTCTTTAACCAGAGGTTTATTGGTAGTTGGTAAAATTAATTTTAGATTGTGTCAGAAATCTTGCTGCTGCATTTTACAGTGGCTGCAGCTTCTATTTAATCTTCAAGGACTGACCCAAGTAGATCAAATTACAGTAGTCTAAGTGGGAATTTAACAGTGCATAAACTACTGTGGCTATGATTTTGGATGACAGCTACTGTTTTCTCCCAGCCAGCATGGCTAACGGCCATTTGCAAGCCACCTTGAGTCCTATTCTTGGGAGAAAAGTTAAAAAAAAATAAACAAACAATCAAAGAATAAGCAGTAGGGTTTTTTTAAGCTATTGATACAGAAGAATCAAATCCAAATAAGGTCTAAATGCAAATACAAAAGCTACATAGCAGCCTACTATCCTAGCTCAGTTCAGTCGATATTTCAGTATTTGAGCCCAGCAAAACTTGCATTAGACTGCCAAATGTATTTTAAATACAATTAGTTTTCGATTTAGAGCAATGTACAAGATAAAACAGGATGAAGATTGATGCTAAAACTTACTGGAGAATATGCTGTTCCATGAACAGATTCTTGGTCTTCAGGTTCCTTTTCTAAGGACAATGTGGTTCCCATAGTGGCTGCTGTATTTGAGAAAATACAAAATGAAAGTTTAGGATTTGCCTAGCAGACTTTAACAGCACTTCAGAGCATGGATGTATTATCTGTCGAAGAACTAGTCACCTCTAAACAGGCATTCAAAAGTTAATCTCTTTAAACAGAGTTAAATCTTAGCAGCACCTGATATAACCATACTGTTGTATGTGTGTTGTGTGCTTTCAAGTTGCTTCCAACTTATGGTGACCCTAAGGCAGACCTATCATGGATTTTCTTGGCAGGATTTGTTTAGAGGAAGTTTGTTATTGCCTTCCTCTGAGGCAGAGAGAGTGTGACTTGCCCAAGGTCACCCAGTGGGTTTCATGGCCAAGTGTGAATCGAACCATGGTCTCCAGAGTCATAGTCCAACACTCAAACCACTATGCTAATAGTTATAGAGGACCACTGGCTGTCCATAACCATACTAATGGGCTGCAAAGGGATCTCATAGCATCTTTGAGACTAGTAGTATGAAAGAAGTTGTAGCATAAGAGCTATATTGACAAGCATCCATTATACCCATAAAGGTAAAGGTAAAGGTAAAGGTAAAGGTAAAGGTAAAGGTAAAGGTAAAGGTAAAGGTAAAGGTAAAGGTAAAGGTAAAGGTAAAGGTAAAAGTTTTCCCTTGACAGCTGTAGGCGGGGGGGAGGGGGGCTCATTTCCATTACTAAGCCAAAGGAGCCAGAACTGTCATAGACAATTCCATGGTCATGTGCCAGCATGACTACACAGAGAACTGTTACCTTGTCACAGAAGTGGTACCTATTTATCTACTTGCACTTTTACATGCTTTCAAACTGCTAGTTTGGCAGAAGCTGGGACTAATGATGGGAGCTCACTCCATCACCTGTTACCTGGGTCTTGAACTTCTGACCAACTGATCTTGTGATCATCACACTCAGCATATTAACCAATAAGCCACTTGAACATATATCTGTTTCACTGCTTGGAAGGCATCACACATTATTTACATTATACCATATGGCTATGTAATGAACCTAGTTCTTAATGGGATGCTTCAGTGAAGTCCCTATTGGTGTCTGTCCTGCAGTGACACCAGAGCGGCTTACAAATTTGCTTTAGGTGATCCAAGATAGACCAGATGGGCAAGGGACAGATTATTGCTTTGGGGAAGACCACACTTGGACAAATTTACTAGGTCTTTCCCTTCCCCCCTTGTCTTTGCATTGGTTGTTAAAAGGGATGACTGTATTTAGATGTAATTACTAGTATTTGATAATTAAAGTTGTGACCATTCCGCTTAACCCATAACTCGGTGTCCAGTCTCTCTGTTTTGGCACAACAGTTATGCATCAACTATATGGGAAAATAGAACAGCTTTAGCTTGACAGTGTAATGGGCAACAAATAACTATTTTGCAGGGGGTGAAGTATTTATAAATTGGATTTCATTTGGGAGGCAAGCAGAAACATTGGGATTAGGATTTCTCTGTGGTACTACTACATACAAGAAAAAGTTATCCTTATGAGGACTGCAATAGCGCTGCTTGTTGTCATGCCTGTGGGACAGTGAATCTTCTGCTGGCTTTAAGTTGAACTTTAAAGGAGTTATTGGAATTGCTGACCCTAATTTGTAGACTAGGGATCAGCATTCTTGAAAGCTCATTACAGCTGTGGACTAAAACCTAAAGCAGTGCACTACTCCACTGGCCTAGAAGCCACTACATTTTCCAGTATTGTGCATAAATAAAGTCCCTTTCACAATATACAATTATAGCACTATGATTCTACTTAAGGCCTTTACAGACTGCCAGAAATAATGCAGCTTAAGGCCACTTTAACCGTCCTGGCTCAGTGCTAGGGAATCATGGGAATTGTATTTTTTTTCTGGGACATTGAGCCTTTGTCAGAGAGCTCTGGTGCCACAATAAACTACAGTTCCCATGATTCCTTAGCACTGAGCCAGGACAGTTAAAGTGACCTCAAGCTGCATTATTTCTGGCAGTCTGCAAAGGCCCATGGCTATAGTTCTACCCTATGCAATCCTGGAATTTGCAGTTTAGGAAGGGGCATATAGAACTCACAGCCAGAGAGCTCTCATATTCAAACTTTAATTGGAAATGTAAGTCTATGATAGGATGGCCATTAGTCCTAGATTTTAAAGGAGCATTGTCTCTTTGAAGTCATTCTTTGCTGGAAGGATTTACCAGTCCAAATTGGGTTTGACGGTAGAGTTACAGACCTAAATTACATGGATAAACATAAAGAG